CCACAGCCTCCTCTAAGCGCAGCCTGCACTTCTGGCAGTTCTCTGTTTGGGATCATTTTCAGCAGAATCTTGCTTGCATGTGATATTAATGATACTGTTCAATAATTTCTGCACTCATTCATGTTTCCTTTCTTTGTAATGGGGACATATGTGGATCTCTTCCAGTCATTTGGCCAGGTGGTTGACCTCCAGATTTCTTGGCACAACTTGAGCACATCCAGGACGACATCTGTTTGTTGAAATATGTCAGTCGGTATACTGTCAATTCCTGGGGCCTTGATTTTTGCCAGTTCTTTCAGAGCAGCTTGAACTTCTTCCTTCATCACCACAGGCTCTTTCTCATACATTATTTCATGAAATTCATCTGTATCTGCCAATTGCTTTTGTTACAATGACTCTGCATACTCTTTCCATCTTCTTTTAATACTTGCTGGATCATTTAATATTCTGCTCAAAGCATCCTTAAGTATTACAACTCGAGGCTTGAATTTGTTCTTCCATTTCTGGAGCTTAAGAAATGCCGAGCGAGTTCTGCCCTTTTGACTCCAGCTCTTTGCACATTTCATTATCATACTTTACTTTGGCTTCCTGCGCTGCCCTCTGAAATCCTCTGTTCAGCATCTTGATTTCTTCCCTTTGCTTTGCCTTCTTGATGCTCTAGTGCAATATTGAAAGTCTAGCCTTGGTCTTTTCTTCCTCCTCTGTCTTTGTATTGTCTTTGTATTCACCATGGATGATATTCTTGATATCCTCTCACAACTCATCTGGTCTTTGCTCATTGGTGTTCAAGGCCTCAAACCTGTTCCTGAGATGGTTTTGAAATTCAAATGGGATAGACTCAAGGTCAAATTTTGGTTTCTGTGGGTTTGATTTAATTTTCCCTAGCTTGAGCTTGAGCTTGCATATGAGTAGTTGGTGATCTGTTCCACAATCAGCACCTGGCTTTGTTTTCACAGCTGATAATGAGCTGCTCCAGCAATTCTTTCCATAGGTGTAATCAATATGATTCCTATGCATGCCATCAGGTGAAATACATATGTACAGCCTGTGTTTATGCGTCTTATAAAATGTATTTACAATGAATAAAATCTTTGATTTTACAGAATTGTGTCATTCTATCTTGAGCTTCATTTCTGTCACCAAGTCCTTGTTTTCTAACTACTAATCCTTCTCTATTCCCAACTTTTGCATTCCGGTCACCTATTATTATTAATGCATCTTGATTGCATGTTTGATTTCTGACTGAAGAAGTTACATTTAGTTAACACATATTTAAATATAGATATATTTGTTATCTATCGTCCCATCAAAACTGACTCATAGATGTCCCATTCATGGATTTTCAGAGGCTGTAAATCCCATAGGAGGAAATTGTCTTATCTTTCTTCTGAGAAGCATCTAGTGAATTTAAGCCAACTGCCTTTAGGTTGGCAGTGCTATACCTTACCAGTCAGCCACCAGAATTCCCTCTCTCTGTGTATGTTTATTGTTGTTATTGTTGTTGTTAGGTGCTGACGAATCAAGCATGACTCATAGCCACCCTATGAACAAAAAATCTGAACCCTGTTCTATCCTGTGCCATCCTCACACTTCCTTAAGTAAGAGCCCATTGCAGCAGTCGCTGTGTCAATCCACCTGGTTGAGGGTCTGCCTCTCCTTCACTGACCCTCCATCCTTCCCAACAGCATGTCCTTCTGCAAGGAATAGCACCTCCTAGCAACATGTCTAAAGTATGCGAAGAGTATATGTTTATAGATAGATGTAAATATATAGATCATACATTAAAAAAGTGGCTAAGAGAAAATTAGACATCAAATCAACACCCGTGGTAATCATGGAAATCAAAAGATATGTTGCATTAGAAAAACATGATGTCAAGGACCTTCCAAAGGACTAAAATACAAGTATATTCATTCAAAGATGAAGGTATGCCTGATACAAGCCATGGTATTTTCCATTGTTTTGTCAAGCATCTAAAACTTGGACAATAAATAAAGGTGATCAAATAAAACTTGATACCTTAAGTTGTGGTGTTGCTGAGAGTCCGTTCCTGGAATAAACAAATCTATCGCTATGAGTCGCAAGCGACTCAATGGCACATAACAACAACAACTACAACAACATCTTGGAGGAAGTGCAACCAGCTTACTCCTACGATGTTTGAGTGGTGAAACATATTTTGTGCATATTATCAACAGGGCCCAGTCCTTGGAAAAGGACATCAGTTTAAGAAGGATAGAAGGTCAATGAATGACCCTCAACAAACTAACAGTGGGATCCAGCATGTAAGAGATAGTGAGGGTAGAGCTGTGGTTCATAGGGCCGCTATACATCATAGATGACTTGATGACACCTAACAGCAACAAAAATAAATCAATATTAAAGCTCAGTCTTTTAAAAATGGAGGATTTTGCAAATGGATCATTAGTTCTTTAAAATCAAAAGGTGAACTGTAGTGTCTTCAAAATACACTAATAATATAAAAAAGTGAAATCCTTGCTTGGATTCATCAAAATGCTGATTCCACATTATGTTTGCCAAAGCCATGCTAGAAATACCTAAGCCACCATTTGTGACATTAACTGAATTCTGGCCTAATTTTACACTTTTCCAGTCTGTTCCCATAGTGGTCTTTGGAAAACAGAGACCTAATTATATTATTGCACCATTTAAATAAAATTTTATTATTTCAAATAATTCTTATCTCTTTCATTCTCAGAGTGCCCCCAGGCTGTACCCTTCCCATCTATTTGTAATCTTAATTTAACCCATTTCCTACTCTGTGCTTCATAGTTGCTACACAACTAATTATATATTTTTTTCTTATACTGGCAAATGTTCAGTTATTCATACTAATTAATGCTTAAGGGAAAGAAATAGAAACTTTAGTACCAGACTAAATCTCAGTTCAAACCCTGGTCTTAGACATGACACTTAGTTTTTTTCTGACTTTTAGCTTCATCTGTAAACTGAAGAAAACACTGTATTCCCAAACTTGTGTGGCGTGATAAGCAGAAGTAAATGTGAATATGCAGTCAGGTTCACCCAAAGTGCTATCTATTATTACCACAGTTACTCAGATGCTCTCCAACACTAGCTCATTAACAGTACCTTTCAGTGTCTTACCCTCAACAGCATTTTCTGAATTGAATGTAAGCAGCCTAAATTGATGGCATCTGCTGCCTCGATCTCAGTCAGCTATTAGCTTCTCAGTGTCTGTTTTGAATTTCTGAAAGAAATTTCCATTTTTAGGCAACCGCAGCATTTTCCTGTGGCATCTCAACAAGTCTTATTCTTGAAGTTATTGTAACTTTTGCTTGATGGATCCAGGTCATCAAAATTATGAGCAACATCAAAATCTATGAGCAGGTCCACTTTACCTAGCCCAAAATAAGCATAGGTTTCTCCATACAAAGAGCCCAAACTTCGAGCATCACTGAGTCAGCTTTTAATGGCATTGCCCTTTGCTTAGATGTTTAAATAGCATCCTTGGAGAGCTCCTCACCATAATACTACCCAGACAAAGAGAGCACAGATCACAAAATGCTAGTTTTGTTTGTTGTCCAGAGTGGTGATAGCTACACATGATGCTCTCAGAATATGTTTTTTGGGGGGTTTTTTGTTTGTTTTTTGGTGGTTTTTTTTTTTGTTAACACTTGAATGTAAGTAAGTTGTTGCTTTATTGGATTTGGTTAACAAACTCAGAATATGTTTTTAACAGTAATTTTTTACTCCCTTTTCTTGACTCTCAAAATTCCCTTCTGAAATTCTAAGAAAGAAGTAACCACCATTGTCTTCAGTGGAATTTGAATGATTTCCTGTGGAAAGCAGAACTTTCTAAATCACTATGCTTCATAAAATCACCACGTATTTCTTTGTTTCCTTCCAATGTAAGTGGAACATATGGGTAGCGTTCCAAGAAAAGCAAGGGAGAGTGGGCTGACTTTCCAAAGGAAAAAATTTTTGGCTGTCAGAAATATGATAGAGCTGTCATAAATACGTGAGATCAGCCATGTTAATAATAAGACATCAATCAAGTTTATGTTTTTCATGTGTCAATTTGAATATTTCAGTTTTCTCTATCAATATAGGGCATAATAAAGCAAAATAGGCAAAGCTGTCAGGATCCAGAATTCAATGAAATCACCCTGCCTTCATGTACAAGAGTATCTCAGGACCAAGGACAGAGCTTCCCGGGGCTTAATACTCGCCTACTTTCCTACATAATTAACAAGAGTTTAAATATGTGTTCATTTCTGCTCAGATGTTTATGCACAAATCTAACATATTGTTTTCTAGAATATTGTTTCATGTTAGCCTTGGAATTATGTATAGACAATCAGCATCCAGTCACAGCTCTCAAGGAGCCCATATTAGAACTATAGCAGGAAACAAGAAAAATAGGCAAATTAACAAATAATTGTTATAACTCTATAACAAGAGATGTTATAGAGCTATGTGCTGGTCATGTGGGATTCAGGGGAGGTGTGAACAGTGATTAAATCTGCCTAGTGTATCCAAGGAAGGCTTCACAAATGAGTGGGTATTTGAGCTGGGTATTGACAATTGGGTCAAGTTTGGGAGACACAGAGGACCTTGTGAAAGGGAACTCAGTGAACTCAGGTAATTCAAGAAGAGCAGTTTGGTGTGGCTTAAAAGTAGGTCAAATGAGAACTGAAGTAAAAAATAAGAAATTGCCAATTACTAAGGGCTTGTATATATACCAAACTGAGAGATTTAGGCTTTATCCTGGGAAAACTGAGAGCTACTCAAGGGTTTTTAAAACATATCATATTTTTGATCTTTGGTGATCAGGACAGAGAATAGGCTCTGAGAAAAAGGAAGTGAGAAGGCAGAAGGGCAAATCAGGGTGGCATTTGCCTGGGGTCCTGGAAATGAAGAACTACTTCATCGTAACCATGGCTGAGTAGGTAAAAGTTGACCTGGCAATCTCCCATAACTATTCATTAGCATTCCCTGTGTGAATTGTATCTCTCCAGATTCCACCAAGAAGATAAAGGATGTTTTGACTGAATTTAATGAAGGAGGAAGCCTTGAAAAATATGATCCACATAAGGTAAGAACATTTCTACTTAAAACCTTAACAGAAAAAACCCAAAATAGTCAAAACCATCTTCTATACTTCCCATAATTTCTTTCCCTTTTGGAAACTTATCCTGAAAAACTTCCTTCTCAACATATTTTCTTCTGTTCACAAGTGTGCCGTTAGTGCTTTCTGGCATCATACAATTCCCAGGTCCATACCATCCCCCTGTCCTGGAAGACTATGTCATACCTTCACATCTCTCCTCAGAGTTCTTACCCCTCCTCCCAGACACTCAGTCACAATTAACAGCTGTGTTCTCTGCTTCACTGAGGAAACAGAAGAAATCTTCTGCAGCTCTTTCACCTCATCTTCCCACCTAGCTGTATTTTTCTCTTGTATCTAGGGATGAACTGTTTGTGCTACTAATGTCTAACCTCCTGGTTTGTGATCTTAGTCTCTTGACTTTTGAAAGGACCTTGCTTTGACAATTTATTCCCATTCTTTCTCTCCCTCCCTCTTTATCCTTAACAATTTCATAGTTGTTTTCATCAACTGTATAGTAGTTTTCTCTCATCAATGTATAAACATGCTGTATTCAAAATAGTCTCTCTTGATTCCACTTCGCTTTCCTTCTAGCTGCCACCTCATTTCTCTCCTGCCCTTTCTAGCAAAAAAAAAAGATTCTAATGTGCAAAAATGTTTGTACTCACGGGCTCCACTTTCACTCTTTCCTCCTTTCTTGAAAGCCCCTCAGTTAACCTGTAACCCCCATTTCTCCATTAGTTCAGATTACCGGGGAACTCATGGATCTCCACGTGGATAACTCCACCATTTTACTTATCAGCACTGGGTGCAGTTGGTCAAATCCTCCTCAGCTGATCCTCAGAACTACACTCTTCATTATTTTCCCTCTTACCTTTCTATATGATATTTCCATTTCAAAATAAGGATAAAAAAAATAAGGATCACAAACTTAACATGTGCCAAACTGAGCTCCTAAATTTACCCTAAAAAACCTGTTTTTCTGGCAGGCTTCCTCATTTCAGGAAATACAAATTCCACTCTTCAGTTACTAAATTTGAGGTCCTCCTAAAACTTTGGAGTCATCAGTTGAATTTTCTCTTTCTCTCTTATCCCACAGCTAATTAGTTCATGTGTAAAATTTGTCATTTCTACCTTCAGTATATCCAAAATCTAGATATACCCCACTAGCAGCACTACTTCTACCCTGACCTGAGGCCTCACCATATTTTGCCCCTATTATTTCATTTGTCTGTTAACAGATCTCCCTTTCTTCTTCTTTGTCCAGTGAAGTCTGTTCTTCTCACACACATGCTGAATAAACTGATAAAACATCAGTCATGTCATTACTCTGTTCAACAATCTCATGTTGTCTTCTCAACACCCAACTCAGAGAAGAGGTCAAGGCTATTAAGTACAGTGCACCACAATTCTAGCCTCCACCCATATCTCTTGCCATTTTCCTTGTTTCAAGCCATAGTAGTCTCCTTGTTTCAGAGTAGTTTCCTTGTTTCAAGCCATAGTAGTCTCCTTGATGCCCTTATCAAAGTCATTTGATCCAACCTCAGAGCCTTTGCACTTGGCTGTGGCCATAGAGCCCTTTTCCAGGAATAGTCTTCACCCAGATTATCATAACACCATAAATATCTTTTTTCTCACTGAGCACCACTTTCTCTGTCTCAAATTTTAAACTCCTTTTCCTGACACTTTTCTGAAACTCTCTGCCCTGCCTTATTTTCCTCCTTAGTGCTTCTCTAACCATCTGCCACACAATGTAATGTGCTTATTTGTCTGTGTCCCTGACTGGATTATATTTATTCACTGCTGTATCCTCAATGACCAGAACAGCGTCTGACTCATACCAGACACTAAATAAATATTTGTGAAGTGAATAAATGATTACCAGTCTTCTCTATGCTTTCAAATTTAAGTTGTCTGCCATTTCTCGGTTGCTCAAGTTTTTTACTGGGCACTGTAGTAGATATGCTGAAGAGAAAACAAAATCTCTACCCTCCAGGAACTTGGTTCTTGAACCAAGTTTGAGAATGATGGTCTCAGAGTTTTGGGTTAGAAGTCTATTTGTGATACCAAAGTGCAATATGACCGGAAATATTTTACCTCTTTATGCTTCTTCACCTCATCTCTAAGGATTAAAAAATAAATAAATCAAACAAAACCACTAAAGTGAGTGCATGATTGCATTAAATGAGAGAGCTTTTGCAAAGAGCCTAATGCTTTATCACAATCATTGCCAGTGAGTCAGAGCCAACTTGTTCGCTGACTCTCCAGTGGGTTTTTGGAGGCCATTTATCACATTGAAAGAGATTTCCCATCTTCTGTCATTGAGTAGCTGGTGGATTCAAATCATTTGGCTCTGAGCTGGAAGCACAACTTCTTACCACTAAGCCACCAGAGCTCAATACTTTGTTGTTCTTAGGTGCTATTGATATGAGTATGACTCACAGCAAACCTGTGAACACCAGACCTAACGTTTGCCCTGTTCTGTGCTACCCTCATCATCTCTGACACACATGAACTCATCGCTACAGTCACTGTATCAATCCATCTTATTAAGGATCTTTCTCTCTTTTGGTGACCCACCAACTTTCCAAGTATGATGTCCCTTTCCATGGAATAGCCTCTCCTACCAACATTTCCATGTATCTATCCCCTTGTATCTATGTATCTATCTCTATTAACACAATAACCTCTTAGTCATAAGGTTTCACATGAGCACAATTTCATTCTCTGGGCTTCTCCTTTTTCCCCAGCATTAGCCATAACTTGCTATGATCCACATAGTCAAATGCCTTTGTGTTGTCAATAAATCATTAATAGACATTCTTATGGCATTCTTTACTTTCAGGCAAAATCCGTCTGACATCAGAAATTATATCTCTGGTGCCACGGCCTCTCCTAAATTGTCCTTGAACTCTGGCAGTTCCCTAGCTGTATACTGTCCTAGCCATTTTTTTTAATGATCTTCAGAATTATATTGCTTGCATGTGATATCAGTGATAATGTTTGGTAGTTTCCACATTCGATTGGGTCACCTTTCTTGTGAATGGGAACAAATATGGACCTTTTCCAATCAATTGGCCAGACAATTGTCCTCCAGATGTCCTGGCATTGACCAGCGAGCACATTCAAGGCTGCATCTGCTAATAGAAAAAAGTTAGTTGGTAACCCATCGATTCCTGAGGCTTTAATTTTTTGCTGATATTTTCAATACTGCTTCCACTTCCTCTTTCATTACCTTTGGCTCCTGCTTGTATGTTACTTTCTGAAATTTTTCATTGTCAGTTCTTTTTGATACAGTGATTCTGTGTATTCCCTCCTTTTTTCCCCTGATGCTTTCTGAGTCATTCACTATATTACTGATAATATCTTTCAGTATTGCAATTTGAGGCTTAAATTTGTGTTTTTTTCCCCCTCTCATCTTGAAACTGACTGGAAGAGATCAGTATTCCTATTCCAAAGAAAGGTGACCCAACAGAGTGTGGAAATGATCAAACAATATCATTGATATCACATGCAAGAAAGATTCTACTGAAAATTATCCAAACACTTTTGGAACAATATGTCAACAGAGAGCTGCCAGATGTGCAGGCTGGATTTAGGAAGAGGTCGTGGTACTAGGGATATTATAGCTAATGT